AGTCTGTGAATCATACTAAGGTATCTCGTACCATGAGGTGTATATACCATCACAACGGTATATATGCTATTATTATATGTTGCCTTTACTACTATTAGTGGTGTTCCATATGAACCGATAATTGGTTTATATGCCATAGCTTTTTCTCAGTGCGTGATGAGCTGATTCAGTTGTTTTGAATGGAGATGTTGCATGTGTGAGGAATTTGCGATTTGAATGTAGATTTCTCCGTAAAAGTTCGTGAGAAACACGATGGTGCCACTGGTTTTCTCTGAAATCAACTCCCAAGCTCAAAAAAAGCTTTCAAGTTGAAGCCAAAATGGAGGAGATATCCTACAGTATCCTGAGAGTCCACCTCTACATCAAAACAAACTCTCCATGCAAAAATAGGGAGCAAATACATTGACAGGGCTGCCATTTTAATTGGGGACTCCAAAGCTGAAAACACGGCAACTCTGCTAATACATTTGCTCCCTTTCTTTGCATGGGGAGTTTGTCTTGATGTAGAGGTGGACTCTCAGGATAGAGTGGGATATCCCCTCCATTTTGGCCTCAACTTGAGAGCTTTTTTTGAGCTTGGGAGTTGATTTCAGAGAAAACTAGTGGCACCTTCGTGTTTCTCTCGAACTTTTACATATGAATCGATAGTCAAACCGCAAATTCCTCACACATGCAACATCTCCATTCTTGCGTTTTTACAAGTTTTGACTTGAAATTTGAAGTCACAACATCTACCTTCAAAAATAAAAATTTTATCAGAAAAAATTCGGCAACATTCAAACGTTCCTCAATTTCCTTCCTCAGCATAGCAGTACGCGTGGTGGGTATACAAAAGAAACAAGACCGTACCGAGGTTTCGGCGAGCTACACTTCCAGCTCACGGACATCCGGAGGAAAAACCGCACTAGCGCAGCATCTCACGGTGCAGAAGTTAATTTCAGTAATGAGCTCCTTATTAAAATTTATGTGCAACGCTTGCAACACGTCCGGAGCCGGACCGCGAAGCGAAAACCGCGCAAGTCCCGGTAGCTCCCCCTCGCAGTTGCGCGGTTTCACAACCAGAGGGCAGAGGATCGCGCTGTTCCTCTCGCGTTAGGCTCAGCCCAAGCCGGAGGTTAGGTGCGTTCGAAGTGAGCTTCTCACGAAATTCCGGATGAATTATTCATGTTCGCCGGCTTCGGGTATGAATGAATTGCGCTCCTTGGATTTCGGCGGGGCTCGGATTTGAATTTAGTGCCGCGGAGGTAGGCGCCACGATGGAGCTGCTCATGATAAGAGGCTCCAGGTCGAGGCTGGTCAATCTACATACATCCAAAAATATTAATAACTATATTACTTTATGTATATATTATTCTACCTCTCCTTCTCTATTGCTAATGATTAATATCTTTTTTTAATTATAGATTTAGTATATTTAAGTGCTGTTTTATGTCAGCACTTAAATCCGAAGTTCGAACACCTGCGAGCGCTTCCTAGGCCGGGAAGGTAGAGTCCCTTTATACTGAGAGTCAAGACAATGTGAATCCATTTCTGATTGGTTCCCGTATTTTAGGCCTTCACAGTGTCACAAACGGGAATAAAGTTTGCATTTTCACCGATTGCAAAGATTATAGTCTGGAATGGACCAGGGAAATACGAGTTCGGCAAGGAACAAACGGAATGAGAGAAGGAACGGAGAAAGGAATTTGAGAATGGGCCGATCAAAGATTACGAAAAACGTTCAATTTCTGTAATCTTTATTCCCGTTTGTGACTCCATGAGGGGGTGTTGTCTTGACTCTCAGTATAAAGGGACTCTACGGGAAGGTAGATCCACCGACCTCAGTGTAGCGTCTAACTTTTCCACGTCAGTGGATTCACTGTTTCAATGGAGCTGTTGCTCGTGTGAGGATTTTGCGAGATAAGTACTAATTGAGGAGCTTTCCGGAAAAAGGGCACATAGCAAAAAAGTGCGTTTGAGAGAAACGCATTTGAAATTTTGGTCATTACTCTATGGTCTCTGACAGTGACTTTCGTTCGAAATCGGGAGTCCAAGCTGCGATGAAAGGTACCATCAGTAGTCAGAAATTAATGATGGAAACTTAAAATGCATTTTTCTCAAACGCTATTTTTTGCGATGTGCCCTTTTTCCGGAAAGCTTTTCAATTCCTTGGTAAAATGTTCCGAGAAACACGATGATGCCACTGGTTTTCTCTGAAATCGACTCCCAAGCTCAAAAAATCTCTCAAAGTCGAGGCCGTAACGGAGGATATACCACGCTATATCGGAAGTCTACCTCCACATTAGGACGCACCCTCTATGCAAAAATAGGGAGCAAATAGCATCAGGGTTGCCGTGTTTCCAGTTTTTAAAACCCCGAACAGAGTGGTAGCCCTGCTTGTGTATTTTCTTCCTATCTGGTTGATTTCAGAGAAAACCATCGTCTTTCTCAGTTTCTACATAGGAATTGGTACTTAAATCGCAAATCCTTCACACTTGCAACAACTCCATTGTATTGGAATGTTTCAATTCTTTACTGTGGAGGTATATATGAATATTAATTTCTACAGGAAACCTCTTGATAGGGTACTTACTATTTTATAAAATAGTACATTTAAAATTTCATATGATCGGTTTATGGATCCTGTGAACTATCACAATCTTTGTTTTGGCGTCTGCGGACTCGCCGTAAAAATTACTACAGGCTAATCTGGAAAAGTGAAACTCGCCCGCTCTCTCTTTTCTATCTCATCTCTGCGCAGTTCTTGAGTTCCGAATTCTCGTTACAAATAGGGACTTGGTTTTATCGGGAAAAATTAAAAAAACAAACAAACAAACAAACAAACAAACAATATATCTGAACAACTGACAGCTGAGAATTATTTTTGGTTGCCTATCAGATTATCTTTTATCAAAAGACGCCTTTTATCAATGAGTCATCGGGTACTCTCTTTGCTCGGGACAGTTAAACTGGCCTCTCATCAACAGTCATAGTGCGACATTCATCTGACCCAGTTATTTGTTATTTCGGTGAGTTTTAACGCTTTCCTTGATATTTGACCATTTTTTAAAGCATCGTTTTCTGATTAACGGAATTCTTTAGTAGAGATTTGTCCACCATTTGCGCATAAATTTTTCTTTATTCCTTGGTTTTTCCTCATCTGACAAAATGTGATGTAGAGTAGGTCCTTTTCTTCAAAGTGAAGAGGTTACTTCAACTAAATCTCCAAGAATATCCACACCGCAGTGCATGCAGTAACAGTGTTGCATCCGTGTTAAGGAGGACGAATAATTTTAAATCGGATCAATAATATGCGAGGGTCGTTCACAAAGTAAGTTTTCCAGTTTCTTTCGTAACAACTGTTAAAGCTACAAAAATTGCAATTGTACCGTTAGAGAGGCAGTACTCTTTAACTTTTAAACGGTGTATTGGTTTTTTATTTTTGATTAGGGGCTCGCTTGGAAATTGCATTTTTCCACGAACTCCTCGAAAAATGTCCCGCCACCTCTCGAACGTCTGAAAATTGTGCGGAAAAAACGGGAGGTAAAACGAGACGAAACGCCGGAGTGCAAATTGAAAAATTTACCTACAAGAAACTCTATTCAGTTCTTTTAACATAATTTCCGTTGATATTTACACATTTTTGAGATCTTGGTATCAGTTTGTTGATGCCCTCTCGGAAGAACTCTTTTGTCTGCTGTTTGAAGAAACCCATTATACAGCTTTTCAGTTCCTCGTTAAATCCAAACTTTAAACCGCCTTTTTTCCCCCCATCCGCCGTTGGCCCTGATTTTACTTCAAGTGATTATTACCTCTTTCCAGTTTTGAGGAAGATGGGCGGTTTAAAGTTTGAATCTGACGAGGAGCTGAAAAGCTGTGCCACGGATTTCTTCGAGCAGCGAACAATGGAGTTCTTCGGAGAGGACATCGAGAAACTGACACCAAGATCTCAAAAATGTGTAAATAATGTCAACCTAAATTACTCAGAAAAACAAAATGAGCAGTGCATCTTGTAAGTTAATTATTCAACAAGTACTCCGGCGTTTTTGTCTCGTTTTACCTCCCATTATTTCCGCACAATTTTTAGATGTTCAAGAAGTGGCGGTAAATTTTTTGGTAAGCCCGCGGAAAAATACAATTTTCAAGCGAGAACTTTATTAGAAATCAACAACCAATACATTTTTTAAAATTCGAGAGTACTGCCTTTCTGAAAGCATGATTGCAATTTTTGTAGCTTTAAAGGTTGTTGCGGAAAAAATAGGGATTCTTAATTCCTGAACAGTCCTCGTACTAGGTTGCTTCCCTCGAAAAAAATTCCATCGCTCTGGTCATATACCGGTATTTCACTAAAATCATACTAACTGGAAAGAGGACAAGGCCTTTTCTTGACGAGCAGCGAGAAGTAATAATAATGACATCCCTAAGCCGCATTGAAAACAATAGAAGAATTTGATAAAAATTGGGGGTTTGGGAGAGGATGAAAGGCAGGAGATCTCAGAGATAAAATAAGAGAGAATCCAATTTTTCTAAAAATCTTCAAAAAAAGCCTACAACCGAGGGGAAAAAAATCTGATGAGTATCTTTACTGATGTTTTTATAAATGAGTCTCTGTCGACATTCACTAGATCGTTATTAGCAGAAAGAAACCAAGCCACGTCTGTAGCTAATGCCAAATTCAACCGGGCAATTTAATTTTTTATGAGCAAACGTTCGTGCGAATTCCCTAGAAAATTTCAAGAAATTTTTCTCACACTGAACAGAAAATTCACTGAAATTCGCACTAAAATCCGCACAACCGGCCTCATGTAAAATATTAGATCGCCCTATTAAATTTGGCAATGGCTGACGTGGTTTGGCCCCTCTCGGATTAACGGGCTCCATCTGTATCCTTCAAAAAAAATGTTGCAGTTACAAAATCTAAATTTTACGCTTCTTCTTTATTACAGTGCACCAGGAAAAAGGGTGCTTCCAAGGGCAGTTTCAGATTCTGAGTTGGAACCCTAACAACAGGTACTTTGGAGATGTCTCAAGACTCAGCAGAAGTAACCTGCTCCAAGAAATTGCTATCTGAAGTCTTGGATGCTCTTAACGACTGCACTGTGCTTAAGGATTGCGATACGCATGATGCAAAAGTGATTTCTGAGTACAAAAATTTCAAGCCTGCGAGGAGCTTAGAATTGCTAATCGAACGATTTTCCTCTGGAGGGGACGCTCCGTCACCAACAACTTTCATTGACGATATGAAAACCTTGATTTATTGGAGTAAGACTGTCGAAGAATTGAAAAAAAATATTGAGCAGTTAAATCAAGAGTATAGTAAAAAACCCTTCATTTATTGGCTTAGCACATTGATATGGGAGACAGAACGTGAAAAGAGGAACCGAAAGAACATAAAACGACATTTGACGGTTCTAAAAAAGGTCCGTCCTCTTGAGAAGAAGTATAATATTAAAACATCAGGCACTGCAACCGAGGTTATAACCTATTCGCGGCTGCGATTTTTATTTCCTAATTTATTAGGCTTAACGTCGAATGGAACTTACGGTGAAAACAATTTCATTCCCCAAATGTTTGGCGCTCCTGAATTCGGCGGACTGATACCTGCCAAACACTTTAAAGCTAAAGATGCGATCATCGCGCTTCACCTTTGCTGCTTACGGCTCTTGGATCCGAAAACCGCTCTTTACCTTCACCATCTATTCTTAAGGAAGCGAATTGACGAGGGATTACTTTCGGACGAGAAAAGGTTCAATTTTCTTTTGGCGCAAGGAATATTACAGCCGGATGGTGACATGACCGGAAAATTTCGTATTGTACACGAGACCAGGTGCAGACTCTACGGTAACATCGATGCTGAAATCGCTGAGGTGAGTATCAAACGACTTGTACGAATTTTTTGTAGTTTCGAATTTCGATTATTGGGGAGGCGGCATTAGTGCAGTAGCGTTAGGTGTGGGGGAAACATAGAGTACATAGAGTCGTAATGTAAATGGGAGAGCTGGCGCCATGTTCTGCTCGACGAATTCCGAGCCCGGTGTGCGCCGAGTTCGGGTCGCTTTTTCGATACATTTTCGATCCAAAATGGCGGTGTGGAATACGCAGAGACAAGAGACCCTCCACTGGCCTCCTAGCGACAGGTGGAAGCTTTTACTTTCGGGGTTCCAACAATTCCTTATGGACAATTATTAGAGAGCAACAGTCATCACCCTATTTTCGGCTGTTGACTTACCTACATGGTCGATGATGAGCTTCGGGTGACGTCATGAGCCAAACAAGTTTCCTAAACTTCGGCCATTTTCGGCTTGTTTGCGAAACGAAACTGCCAACACGTTGTTAAACATCAACCATGTAGGTAAGTCAACAGTAGAATGCTGAAGTCCCGAAAGTAAAAGCTTCCACCATGACCAAGATACTAGTGGAAGGTCTCTTGTCTCTGGGAATACGTGGTAATTCCTATCTTCTTTGTTGTTGTCGTTGTTGTTGTCATCGGATGGCCGGGTACCCGTGTATCGCAAACAATCGATTATGTATCGAAAAAGTGACCCGGCGTCACACAGGAGTCTCGGAACTCCGCGGGACATGGAAAATGCTTAAAAGTGGCGCCAGCTCTCCCACTTACATTACGACTCTATGTACTCTATGGGGGGAAAGAACTATTCAAGAGGGCATCGGGAGCTCATAGCCCAGAAAGGACCTTTTATCATTCCTAAATGGACGTATTTCTGCCAAACGGAACTATGGGCATTAAGACATGAGCCCTGAGACCTGAGACCCATAAGAATATATGCATAACACGGCTCACGTCATGATGCACATAGTTCCGTTTGATCGAAATACGTCCAAATGTGCGATATTCTTACATACTTATCCTCTGCACGACAACGAGAAGATAATGAAATAATGAGAAAATTTTAAGCAATTGCTGAAGATAATACCGTACAAGTTTTACATCAACAAAGAGTTAAAACACTCTTTCAGTTGTATCGAGTTAATCTGTAGAGAAACTAGTTATTTTTCATTAAAAAAAGAACCGGCTATTTGAAAACGTGTAAGAGCTCGGTAGACATCCTTACGCAGGTGATCCGCGAACATTGCCGCTGGAAAATATATTTTGTGGTGCCTTCAATTTTGTGTGCACGCAATACGCACATCACCTAAGCACGAATAGTTGCATGTTGCATCGAGGCGTTACAATTATTGTTGTTCAGCATTGATCGACCGAGACAGTTGCTAGATGCGTCATGCCGGTGGCCGGACACTTCACCCAAATTTCTTTGATCCAAGGATTTTTTGGACCAATTATAAAATCGTGATAACATTTTGGTTCGCAGTTTTTTAACCCAAGAGTTTACTTGGACCAGATATAAATTTATTATTTGCCCAATGTAATGATGTAATGCCTCGATTTGTTTCCGCTCAATGGGAGTGAGTTGTTTACAATGGTTAAATTTTCATTTCCACATTTTGTGATAATACTAATCTCCGGTACTCACAATACTGGAATTCGCTGATAAGACTTCTTTGTCTCTTTGCTTTATTCATTAGGTTCTATCTCTTGATCATTTTTGATAAAATGTTTTACGCACCGACTATGAATAATTGTTCTTTTGTGGACTTTTTCCTTACTCACCCTTCTTGCGGGCAGAGGAAGTAGTGTTGTCCACCAAAAAAAAGAGTTTAAAATTCATAATTTTTTTTCGTTGTTCATTTTTTATAGCTTCATTCCTAAGTAGACCGAGGACTTAGACTAGCTTTTCAATACTTTTGGAGGAAACCAGCTGGAAACCTCAGTCCACATAGCTTATCAACACCTCATTGCATATGGCATAGGATGAGGGCATAGAGTGCCCTTTCCTTTCATTATCCTGGTTTTTAGGAGTAATTTCATTACTTTAAACATTTATAAGGATTGATCCCCGCAGAGATATGATTTTGACGTGTATTTTCGTTATCAATTAAAATTTTTTGATAAAGCGATAAAAACCGCAATCTCCGTGACATCGCCAACATTCATCTATTGATTCATGAGAATTTCTCCAATAATTCAAACCAGCAAATAATGTTCCTGGAATTTCCCCCTCCCCTTCAATAAGAAAAATTCGAGCACGCTTCGTTTCCGTTTTCGAGGCTAGAACATCATGATAAATATTCAAAATACATTCATACTGCGCAGCGAAAATTCGTTTAAATTTGACTAACTTCTACATTCATGATGAAAGCATGCAATCGTCTGTCATGAACAGTGTTTATTTAAGGTGATTCGATGGACGCCATATTTTGTGTCAGAACGGCATGCGATATATCGCATCAATTGGTTCCATTATTTTAGCTACTCGTCATTTTTCTCCGATTTTGAAATCGCAATTCTGTTGTCAGGAGACTAAAGCACTCACTTACCAATTTTAACAAAGAAATTCAACGTAATAAAGGCGTGGTTTTTTCAGAGAGAAAACATCGCATTCGA